CTACAAAACCAGAAAGGAATTATTTATTTTATAACCCTCCCATTAATTTTCATCTCGCGCGAAAGCCACTCGTAAAAAAGCCAGTGTTTATTAGATTGCAGATGCGTATTTTAATACTAATTATCACTGGACTCAAATGACTCTGTTTTCCTTCCGTGTAAAATAATAGAGATGGAGAGAGGTGCTTTTAAAGTCAGGAACAGGGAACGGGCAACTAGGAACGGTTTTCTGGGACCGAAGTAGAGTCGTTACCCGCATATAAATTCAAAATGGCAGACGACGACGCGGAAAAGCAGTCTCAGCATCAGTTATAACTCTTTTTGGTAGCGATCTTCGAACTTTATTCCACGTCAGGTGTCGAAGTTAGTAACCAGCATTAGGACTAGGAGGACCACCCTTACTTGCCCTTGCATCATGTCATTCTTGAAATATGTCAATAAATGCCACAAATTCTCCCTGCTATCCTATTTTTCCTGATCCCTGTATAGCAAACGAAACATTAACTACAACTGTAATTAAGTTTAGTGAGAATTATAGTTTCACATACAATTCTTGGAGACTGCTGAGGTTGGCAAGCAAGTCAGATGGTAGCTCCTCCAAATGGTTGCGACTCAGGTCTCTGAAAGAAACGAATACATTTACAACAGCGGGAAAAACCCATAAAAAAGTGATTATTTTCAGAAGTAATTAACGCTCACGAAGCCAAAACATGTAGCACGCAGAGCAAAAATGATAAAGTCTTGTACCATATAACGCACAATTTTTCATTTTCTTCTCAAAGAATAGAAGAGATGGTAATTTTTTTGTCCTTCACCATCTTTTCAGTCGGTTGCCAGTTGATCATTTACTAAGAGAAACGGTAGACTATTTAGAGATATAGAACAGCAATAAACTAGCGAACTCTTAGCGTGAAATGAATAGACGTGATAATTCTCGTGTCATATAAATTATAATCAAACGAATTAAGGTACAAACAACAGTATAGTACTAAGCAAAAGTGACTAAATCAGAATAAAACAGTAACGATTTAAGAAGAAACCAAGACGATTTATAAATAAGATCGTTTCGCTATAATACTGTAATTATAACACGAGAGGTTCTATGGCCGAGACTACTGAAAAGGCTGATGATTCTGTGACTTAATTAAAACAAAGAAAAGACTTACGTACATTAGTTGGCGACTCGCACCAGAAAAGATGGCAAAGACACTTCAGATAGCGGTAGCTTGGATCCTACTGATCGTAGCAAAGGTAGCGGTGTGGCTTCAACCAACTTCTTTCTTTTTTTAAGAGGTGCGCGTCGCACTTTTATATGTTATGATACGTGAAGAAAGCTAAGGCGTCGCAAAAAATAGCACCCACAATAGGAACTATTTCCTGGCAGCAAAGGTTCAAAGTTTTGATACAATTCCAGAAAATCTCCATTTCTACCTACGCCTTCATTTTAGATAACGTAATTGACTACATAATAACTAAATTTAAATCAAAAGGAAGTTTGTAGGAAATTAGTAAAAACAAACGGCGTTTCAAAACTAACAGTCTCATGTATTCATCGTAATCAGAGTTTGCATACTCAACGACTGAGTAGCATTCCAAATACAGCTTATTGACAGCACATTCGGAACTCAAAAAAGACGCTAAGGGTTTGCTACAACATCGTTAATCCGTTTATGATATTAATATTAATTAACTGGCTCTCAAAGATCTATTTTCGTTGAAAAAACATATTTTTTTGCATGACCAAATTGTCCTTCACTAAGACTTATTCACATCTTTCCTCATTTTCGATTAAATCGTAACTTCTAAGACTGTTTTCACTGAGGGATGATAACTTTTCCAGCTGGACCATGTGTAGGTTCGAATTTCCTATGCATAGTTGCAACCGTCTCTAACCTATGGAGCCATTTGTGTTCTTCAGGCCCGTGAATGAAGCAGTCCGGTAAACCAATTTTTAGTTGGCAATGCGGTACGAAACGGATACTTAGTTGCTCTACTGAATTCTTAATAATAAGCATCACCCGAACTAGGTTGCGATGTTCGAGTGTGAGCCTGAGAATATGTTGTCACTAAGCCCAGGGTTAGGTGTATCCTTCACCATGATCTGCTAACCCAGTATTTTCTAATAGTAACGTACTTTCTGTGTGATGTCGATCTCACGATCGTGTTTCTGCCTGATTTATGCACAGCTCGTACAAGGTAATATAACGTAAACGTAAGAGCATTCCTGGTGATTACAACGTATTAAAGAGAACAACATTTTCGTATTCACTTAACTATATATTAAAATTATTTCATTGCATTGTCCATGTTACAAGTAGCTGCTAAGAAAATAATAAAGGTATTACACGAACTCTGATCTGCTAACTCGATAATTAAGTGAATTAACCATCTTTGGTTCGTGATAACAAGACCGAAGAAAACAAGCGAAACAAAAATGCCAAATACTTGTTCTCACAACATCCTGTGTAGGTTAGTAAGCCAGTAAACTGATTGAACAAACAGTAATAGTATAAAGTAAAGAATTCCCAGGTAACGCTTAAAAACTTTTGACTTTTCAGAAAACTTTTTTGAAAACTTTTTTGACTTTTCAGTGATTTTAATTCAATTTTTCTCGAATATTTACCTGTTTTGCTATAGTGCCGTAATAATAACACTTAGTTGACCAAACGAGAAGTTCTATGACCGAGAAGAGGCCGATGATTCTGTGACTTAATTAAAACAATGAAAAGACTTACGTACTTTCGTTGACGACTCGCACCGAAAAAATAGCAGATACGCTTGAGATAGCGGTAGCTTGGATCCTACTGATCGTAGCAAAGGTAGCGGTGTGGCTTCAACCAACTTCTTTTTTTTAAACGGTACGTGCCGCATTTTTATACTTATTGTATACTTAAACATTGCGCAGCGTCGCGGTCAATATTGTGGTTGTAAGTCGATGATGTTCAGAAATGTGTTTGCTGACATCTCAAGTTTCCTCGTCGCTTGTTAATTTCAATCACTCATTAAGTTTGTCGAGAACGGCAACATGTAAAATGGCACGCTTTTGAGTAAACTAGCACACGAGTCAAGTGAGAAAAGGAACGCGCCAGCCATTAAAATAGCACTCGGTCAAAGTGCGCAATATGACACGTAAAACCTTGTCAAATGACACATCGGCTGAATCCAAGTGTGAATATGGTAAAAGGCCTCCGAAGGTGGACAAAAAATCGATCGCAATTCTGAATTGAGTATGAGATCAAGAGTATGCCTAATGAGGGCTAATACAAATTGAACATGAAGTTTTATGTAAACGGGTTTTCCAATCACCGGATGCCTTTAGGACCATTTTACCATTTCTACTCTGCAGTCGCACACAGTAATGAAGTGTTGCGTACTGAATTCTTTTTCTCGATCACTTCCTCCGCTCGGTTCCACGAAACAAAAAAAATTGATCATTGTTTAAGTCAAGTCTTTGAGAGAGAAACAACAAAAACGCAATACGAAACTTATCTGTTGATCATTGTGGCTGCATGTTGAACTACATTCTTTATTCTTTATTCCTTAATCAAGTTTCAGACTTACAAGTAGAATGACAAATCTCAGGTAGTCTTAAAACAGAATACAAGACTCCTTAAAAATAAGCCACCTATTATTACATCTACAAATTTAATTAAGTAATAAAATTATCTAAAAAGTCGTTAGCGTAACATGTCAGTTATGAAAGACATGCGACATGAACGCTTATAAATAAAATTATTATAAATGGACTAAAGATTTGGTAAAGTACAGTGCAAAAGTTAAAAACATCTGCATTAAACTTATCATGATAAAAGGCCATCAAATTCTTACAAAAGATCGACAAGGTATTTAACTCTCTTATACTAAGAGGTAGTTCATTCCACAGGCGACAGATTCGAACAAAAAAAGAATTCTTAAAGACGTCAGTCCTGCTGAAAGGGACATCAAGCGTTAAATGATCAACTTTTCTCAACCGTTTTCATACAAGAGCGAAACGATACATCATCGAAGATATTTAACTTATATGCATTCTTAAAACACTTAAAAAAGTAAACTGAATCATTAATTTCTCTATGATACCGCAAAGGTAATAAATTTAATTTACTAAGGCGCTCGTGCTCCGAATAATCCCTACCAAGAATGAATCTCGTAGCCCTACGTTGGACCTGTTCCAAATTGTTGATATTTCGTTTGGTATGAGGTGACCATACCACGCTAGCATATTAATTTCACCTTGGAGAGTGTGTTAATAAAATGTTTTCGCGTTGTCTCTCTCTGCCTCTCTCCGCCAGTTTTGTTCTGAACAAATATTTGTTTTGAAGAATTAATCCCGAGGAGTCGTGACTCTTTCATTTTAGCGGAGCCTTTCTTTGCTCCCGCTGGGTGACACGTTGGGTAGAAAGTGAACTGGAATGTCTCTGTTGGTTTGAAGTGGTTTCTTAAATGGAGAACTGACTCCCTATTCAATCTTTCACCCCTATAGATAGTTTTGTCTGAGAAAGTAGCTTCTGATATTTCAGCCGTTTTAAGTTTAATTATTTCCATCAATTGTGAGCAATTAATAGACCGTAATCCGCATATCAATTCAAATTGGCAGATGACAGCGTGGAAAAGCAGTCTGAGCATCATTTATAACTTTTAAGGAAGCGATCTTCGAACTCAGTCGTAAACAAATATCATGGACTTTAAGCATAGATTTTATTGAAGGGGTTTTGACTTCAAAAATTTAGTTTTACTGTGATATAAATTACTGGTAGGATAGAAATCGGGTCCTTGCAGGGCCGTACCTTTAGTCCTTGACTCAATACAGTACAGTAGAGTACTTCTAATGCTAATCTAGGCAGGACAAGACTTTAACTAAAGGCGTTATTAAATTACATAAGAAAAAAGAAAAGAAGAAATACAAAAACATACAGAAAGAAACACCTTACATATAAATTCAAGTACAAGGGATTTTGTTGTTTGAAAAAGACTAAAATTACAACTAGAGGTATATACAATATATCAGGTTAACTTCACAAAATATTCTATTAAAAAATTAACATTCAAATAATTATCTTCATTATCTAGAACATTAAGGAGTAGTGATTTAATTTTTTTACGAAAATTAGAAACGTTGAGAGTCTTAACAGAAAGTGGAATAGAATTCCAAATAGACACACCGATTCTAGTAAAATATTTTTTCATTTTTTCAGTTCTAGAGAATTTGACAGAGAAGCATTCTTTTGCAGATAATCGCGTATTATAATGATGTTCTGTATTGATTTTCGCAAACTTATCGAGAAGACTTTTAGGAGCTGTCTTAGCATGAACGTCATACATTAAATAGCTTAACTGTTGAAAGAACAAAGACTGCAAAGGAAGGCAGTTTGATTCAATAAAAAAAGGGATTGCATAGTCTCTGGGTTTAGAAAAATAAATCAAACGCAGAGCACGTTTTTGCAGAACAAGTATCTTATTGAGGTAGGTCTGTGGACAGTTGCCCCATGCACAGATTCCATAATTTAAATAAGGAGAAATAAGTGCATGATATAAATTCAAAAGAAGACGCCGTGGAATGTAATGCCTCATTTCAGCAATTATTCCAACCGATCTACTAATTTTGTGACAGATAAAGTCAATATGATGCTTCCATGATAGTTCAGAATCAATCATTATACCCAAATATTTAACAAAGTCCTTCATCTCTAGAGTTACTCTAGTATTTAAAGTTGGATTAAAAATCTTAATTTCAGGAATGAAAGGCATTCTTTTTTGGTGGGGACGAAAAATGACATAATTAGACTTTTTGACGTTGAGCGTTAGTTTGTTAGCATTAAGCCATTCGCTTACTTTCTCAAGTTCATTATTGACAGTTAGTTCAAGAGTACGTAAGTTGTCATTTGCATAAGTTCTCTTCATAAGACTCCCGTTCCTATTTCTCCGTTCCTGATTTTAGAACATACTTTCTTTCACCGACTTTGTTTCTTTTCGACGGAAGAAACCGGAAGACGAATATCGACTCGTAAAGAGGGGTTACTGCTTGATAAGTGTCCGGTGATGTTGATTTGATTGGAACAATTGTCAAAAACGCAAATAACGCTCTTTGTTTTTTGTTATGAAGCAATCTTAAAAAAACTCGCCTTTCTTTGTGTGGTTTCATGCACGAAATCCAATCTTAGTCTAAAACCCCAATACCTTAGTAGCTTCATAAATTCAGCTTATTGCACCACATTTGAAGCTTAGAAGTAGGTAAAATAAAACTTAATTTAGACAGGATAACCCTTTCAGCTCGAAAGCTGATATCCATAGGGGCCATGTATCGAAGAACAATTATGATTACAATATATGAAAACTTAAATTATGTTGAGAGCTATTGACCGTAAATACCGAGAATCCGCCGACAACTGAAAAATTCGTAATTCAGTTTAGTTTTTCTAGAGGACCCTTTTTATGAACCTTTTTCTGATGAACTTTTTTTTCCGATGAACCTTCAATCCACTGTTCAAACCTTTGATCTACTGTTCTGCCTTGTTCTACCTTGTAGAATAGTTATGAATGTCAGAATCTACGAATGTTTTTTTAGCAAGGCTGGCGTCATTGCTTTGGCGGTGTAGAACAAAATTTCATTCAGCTGATTCGTGAGCCTTACAGTTCATTGCCGCTAACTGAACACTGAACTGACTCCCTATGTAATTTCGCAACAGTGTCCATTTTGACCTTACTGAAATGAAACTTTGCCCTATATATTATAAACGAGTTATCGCATGTTTCGTCGTTCAAATATTAGGATCGATGTAACTAATGTTTTCAGAAGTTGACGAAGTCGCTGAAAGGCTCGGGAAATTTCTGCACCTTTTGAAAACCACCGTAATATTAATCTTTCATTTTGTTCGGCTCTATGCGATTACCTTTACAGAGTAGGACTATAAATATTATGCAAGGTAAATTTTTAGTTTAACACACTTCGCCAACATAACAAATGAATTTTAGCTGCACGTCTGCGAATCGAAACAAAAACTTAATCACTGCAATTATGGAGAGTTTTTGGTAAGTTACTATTTCAAATATTTACGCCACACGAGGCTGCACTCCACCCTCTTTCACAATCTGATCTGAGCTGTATGTTGGATTATTTGGAAGCGTACAGCTATTGCGATCACACAGCTTTCGGAATGATGTAATAAGTTTACATCTCTCTTTTGTCTCGGTCGAGACACTCAACTTCGTTCATTGCATTTCGATCAATGTTAAAAAAGGACCCTGGACGGATTTCCACCAGTAGACCACGTAGACAAAAAAATGACTTGTCACAACCAAAAGTTCGTTAAGTTATGTTCATTCAACCAAACCAGTTCAGTGGCCTTGACTTCTCATCCCTCCATAAATAATTTTCTGAGTATTTGGCTGACAGCCACCTTCATTTTATTACTTCATTGCAAAGCAATTCAGCACTAGAGCGACGTAATCTTAGGTGATACCCAGCCAAGTCATTATAAAAGATAATTATATATCAACTACCTCTGATAGATAATTGAGAGAACGTTTCCAGGTCAATTCAATCTTAAATGTCTGCATTGTTAGGAATATAGAGTGAACTACTCGCAAGTACTATGGCTGAGTCAATTTATCAAAAACGTTTGGTGATAGTGCTTTTAACTGTTTGAAATCTAACCGCCTGTGATAAATAATGGCGATGGCAGGTTAGTACTAACAATGATATTATAATATTGAGATTTTTGAAAATTGACCGTAGTTACATTTACTTCCTATTTGTTTATTATTTTTCCTCTGCTGCTTTCTATTGAGTATATTTGCTAACAGGGCAGCGTTCACCCATTTTAAAGCACTCGACAAGTTATACTACATCTGCTCAGCCAGTATCTTCTAATGAAATTGCTATTAGCTACTGAAATTAGAAGTCTTTGGGAACTAAAATCGGGAATGTTCCTACTAAGTATTTGGGAATTGTTTTGGCCTGCTATATGACCTTGAAATCTTTGTGCGAGATCCATGAGCTTTGGTTCGTTCTGTGCTGCAAGACCACACATCTATTTTTACATTTTGAGTGATGTGTCTTTGACAGTTGAAATAGGGCTTAATTCTCGTACAGTAATCGTCGTCGCTGGTCATGTTTGGGTTTGTCCTTGATCTTGTTTATGGTTCCCATTGGGAAGTTTTCTTTAGGGTTTCAGTTCTCGAATTTTAGTCGTTTTTGAAGTACTTTGTTGTTCATTTCGAATGTCTAGTAAAGTTATTTGGGTTAGCGTTCTAAAAATATGTTCACTCTGCCAAGGTCACTTGTCGCGTAACTCTAAACATACCTATACAAATAGGATATTTAAGAGCGTGTACTGAGGGCTGAATTAGACACAAAGACCCAGTCTTTCAGATGAAGAGCCATTTAGAGTCATTAAGCAGAGAGGGAATGAAAGTTCTTGATCAAACTCCCAGTGCCTCCGTTTGCACGAGTTTCTTAAGCTAATTAACTCCATCAGTCCAACAAACCAAACAACCTTTAATTCGTTAACGGGACAGTGATTAGCCTAAGCTTGGCCGAGACGACCCGCCAGGAAGTATTTTTTCACAGGTATTCGACAATTTTTCATTGTATAAATTGTAACTCGTGAAATGAGGTTAGGAATCCTTCTGCGATAGAGGGCCAGTCCTCTAACACATCTGGAAATATGCTATTTCCGCAGTCCCAATTGTTCTCGCGGTTTAAAAATCTGGTGCCGAAATTACGTCTCAAGAACGAGGCTAAGAGCGAAGTCGCTCTCATCGTTAGAAAAAATGAAGTGCTGTGCTGGCGAAAATGAGCGACTGTTTCACGAAATTTAACATGATGGAGTGAATAATTATTAGTGAGAGAGAGGCTATCAGCTAAGTAATGGCGACAAAAGAAAGAAAAAAAAAAGGTGTAACTGTCCCATATCCGGGTGCCTCCGTTTGCACGAGTTTCTTAAGCTAGTTAACTCCACCAGTCCACAAACTAAATAATCTTAAATTTGTTAACGGGACTATGGTTAGCCTAACCTTGGCAGAGACGACATCCCAAGAAGTACTTTTTCACAGGTATTCGACAATTTTTCATTGTGTTAATTGTCACTCGTGACAATGAGGTTGGGAACCTTCTGCGATAGAGGACCAGTCCGCTTACGTCTTGAACTGAACGCGATGCTCAACGGATTTGCTTGAAATGGGCCAATTCCGCAATTCCCAGTGTTCTCACGATATTAAAGAAATCTGGTGCTAAAATTACGTCGCGAGAACGAGGCTAAGTAGGAAGTCGCTCTCATCGGTAAAAAAAAATAAAGTGCCGGTTGAGTGAAAATGAGCGAAACTTTTTAGAAATTCAATGTGGAAAAGAGAAAAGTAATTTGTGGGATGGAAGATATCAGTTAAGTGATGGTCGCAAAGGAAAGAAAAAAGGGAGAACTGTTCCATTTATGCATTGCAGCAATAAAGCAAATAAAGGTAGCCGCCTCTGGAAAAGACCACTAAACGTTGTTGGATGCTTAGACGTACGCCTTCTTTGACATTTCAAATTTCTTGTTTAGCGTCTACATGCAGCCTTGCTTCAGATGTTTTCATGTCATTATTTATCATATTATTATAATCAAACGAATTAAGGTACAAACAACAGGATAGTACTAAACAAAAGTAACTAAATGAGAATAAAAGAGTAACGATTTAAAAAGAAACCAAGACAATTTGTAAATAAGATCGTTTCGCTATAATACTGTAATAATAACACGAGAGGTTCTATGACCGAGACTATTGAAAAGGCTGATGATTCTGTGACTTAATTAAAACAAAGAAAAGACCTACGTACTTTGGTTGACCAATCGCACTAAAAAAATAGCAAAGACACTTGAGATAGCGGTAGCTTGGATCCCACTGATCGTAGCAAAGGTAGCGCTGTGGCCTCAACCAACTTCTTCTTTTTTTAAACGGTGCGCGTCGCATTTTTATAGTTTATGCTGCGTGAAGAAAGCTAAGGCGTTGCAAAAAGTAGCGCCCACAACAAGAACTTTTTCCTAGGCAGCAAAGATTCCAAAGTTGGGATAAAAATTCCAGGAAAGCTCGATTTCTACCGACGCCTTCATTGTAGATCACGTAATTGACTACATAATAACGAAATATAAATCAAAAGGAAGTTTGTAGGAAATTAGTAGAAATAAACGGCCTTTCGAAACTAACAGTCTTATGTACCCATCGTAATCAGAGTTTGCATACTCAACGACTGAGAAGCAATCCAAATGCAGCTCATTCGCAATCCATTCGGAACTCATAACTTGCTGCAATATCTTTTATCCGTCAATGATATAAATATTAATCAACTGGTTCTCAAAGATCTATTTTCTTTAAAAGACATGTATTTTTGTCTAACCAAATTGTCCCGTTACAGGGCGTTATCCATATCTTTC